AATAGGGTAGGCCATAAACTAAAATTATGCAACTGAGCTTCTGGGTCACTTTGCATTCCTAATTATTAGGGCTCACCCAACAATAGGTCTTAAAAAGCTAATAAGAATGTTATGACGTAGGACCTGAGCTGGTGGTGCTCACAACTCTAAGCACTAAACCTAGATCAAAAAACCACAACTGCTGCATTCATACAACAGGCTACACCAAATAAAACTTAAGTGTGGGGTAACATAATAGTTTAGTTCACACAATAGAGTAAAAAAATAGTTAGGTTTTCACAACGCATAGAACTGGAAACTACCCAACCCCATTTCAGTTCTAGCCTAATAAATTATGTGTACTCATCCAAACTAAGACTAAGAGGCTCAGAATATAACCCACTGAAGGGCCAACTAGGGAAGCTTAAGAAAATAAACTGAAAAATCAAGTTATGCAAATTTTAATTCACACTGACTTGTTTTGCATCTTATATGTGAATCATAGTGGTACTTCTCCAAATTCCACAAGGCACTTTTGACTTAAAATATATACCAACTTTTTAAAATACACAATTCAGTAACAAAGATATATAGAAAAGTATATCTTTAAATAAAATCCTCATCTAAATGTGCAACTTGTAAGAATATGTTCAATATGTTTTATATATATAGATTTATGAATTAACACTTGAATGATAAGCAAACTCTACGGGGCAACTTCCAAGTGATTCCAAATATCACTTGAGCATATCACTTACAATTTGTGATAGAGAAAAATAATAGTAAATAAATAAATGTTAATAAATAAAGGTTCAGATAGACCTCTAGCTAACTCCTTCAGTACCAAACAATACAATTCCTCTGGAGATTTAGGTATTCCCCAGTCGTATTTTGATTAGTCCCAAACTTCAGTTCTGCTCCTTAACCTTGCCCTTCACAATTACCTAGTGAAACACATGTTCTCTTATTGGAGAAGACTGAGTCAAAAACGAGAGCTCTGCCTTTTCTTTGTTCCCTGTTAGCGTTTTTATATCTTAATTGAGTTCCTGGTTTATTGATTCTTTTCTTTTTATTTTAAATAGTTGAGTGCAAACTTCTTGAATTCAAAACAGCTGCTTCAAGTTCGGAATCGGTTATTCTGAGCTGAAAATATTTATCAGAGCCATTTGAAGCTCAGAACATTTCCAAGAAGGTTGGAAGGCTTCCTGTGAGGATGGAACAGCCCATTTAAACTTGAAACAACTTTCAAGCTCAAAAGGTTTCACACTTATAATGGTTTAAACAACTCTAACATTAAACACCTCTATAAAAGCTCCTTTATTATTTTTAGCATCCTTTGTCAACGTCAGCTCATTCTCACATTTCTAATACCATCTCTATAGTTTTCATCCATCAGTATGTACCTTGCTTAGCTTCTAAGCATAAGCATAATCTGCCAATGGACTCACCTTCTATCTCTTGATTAGGTCTACTCTCCCTTCCATTCCTTTCTCAGCTTCCCTACAATCTCTCACATTAAGTGATCTGCCCCCTTTTCTACCATCTTTATGTATCCTTTTTGGCTTTCAAATCTCCACTAACATTTTGTGCAGCCATACTGGCTTTTTCTGCTATCCTCTTTTTTATCCTCAGTGGAATTTTTTGCAATTGTGTTTTCAGTATCTCCATTTTGAGATCTCCCACCAAATTTTGAGCTCTTTTTCCATTAGCATTCCTGCCCTGTGATCCTACATCCTTTCTCAGCTTCCCTACAATCTCTCACATTAAGTGATCTGCCCCCTTTTCTACCATCTTTATGTATCCTTTTTGGCTTTCAAATCTCCACTAACATTTTGTGCAGCCATACTGGCTTTTTCTGCTATCCTCTTTTTTATCCTCAGTGGAATTGTTTGCAATTGTGTTTTCAGTATCTCCATTTTGAGATCTCCCACCAAATTTTGAGCTCTTTTTCCATTAGCATTCCTGCCCTGTGATCCTACAATGGAATCTAGTATTTAGATTCCATCTGCTTTCCACAGAGTTTTTCCATGAAAACACTGGAAAGATCGTGCTTGGCAGAGTTTGCATTCCAAGAGATATTCCATTAATTTGAGTCCCCATCACTACTTCATGTTTCTTTGAAATATCTGCAGTTTACTTTTGGAAAGCATCGCTTACATGTTCTCCTTGATTGGGAAGGTAACAGTAGATACAATAAAAGTATTGTTTTTACTTGTTCCTACTTGTTCCTTTATTTTCCCAAAGATGATCTCAGCAGTACCAAAAGTTCATTCCCTTGGATTTCTGAGCAGGTGTTAACACTTTTGACAAATAGTGCAACTCTTCCTCCCTTTCAATTGTTTCTGTTCCTTCTGAACAAATTGTATCCCTCACTTACTAGATTCCAATTGTGGGAATCATTCCAAAGACCTGCATTATACTATCAAATCATATTTGCCTTCCTGTATTAAAAGTTCAAGCTCCTTTTCTTCACTGAGTGGTTTTTTAGTCCCATGTTAACAACATCCCCATATCTTTATCAGAAAACGTTACATTAGGGGTTTCATTTTCAATCCCCACAGTGTCTGATTTAAAGCCCTTCTGATCGTGCTCAGCCTACACTGGTCTAGCATGTTTTTACCAATCCTTGTGAAATACCAGCAGCCCATTATCCAAATAAATATGTGGAGGTACTTCATTGCACTTGAAGCGTGCAACTCTCTAGTACAACTTGCCATTTTGTGTAGCTGCCCTTCATGTGACATAATGTGAGATGTCTGCATTTTCACCTGCACAAGCAGTCATAACCACTTCTTAATACGGAACTCTGAGAATCCACTCAGCGTGATGCCCCATAGGGAGGCTGTCAGGTCAGGAAGCGAGTGGTGGTGTTGCTAGTGCCAGGGAATGAGTATGTGGGGGAGAACAATAGAGAGCTGAGCCTTTTGGGAAAGACTGTGGGGAGGCTGGAAAAAGAATGGAAGGGAGAATAGACATAAACGGTCAAGAGAGAGAAGGCAAATCCACAGCCAGCTTATCTCATAAATAGCAAGCTAGCCTAGGTGACAAAACACCTTGGAAGAAGCATTTCAGTTGCTCAAAAAGTCTCGAGAGTACTTCAATTAACTCGCTATAAAAGAAGATGAGAAATTCTTCTTCCACTTTCCAATATTCTGTATTTACCTAAAATACCTTACTGAAATCTTATTACGCCCTTGATCTGCTACATGGGGCTTGACAGAAACAAAAAGAGGGAAGGAACTGGAGGCATATCCTTGTTGACAGCAAGGTAAATAGGGCAAGTTTATTCAGTGAGGTTCTCTGTCAACTCCAGTGCTATCCTTCAAAGAGGTACCACTGTCCTTGAGGGAGCAGCTCCATGACTTGGGGATCCTCCTACCCTGAAAGCAGTAGCCAGATGGGTGGGTGAAAACCTTAGCTAGAAGGGCTCTCATCTAGCTTTGGTTGGTACACCAGTTATACCCTACCTGGAGTGAGAGGACTTTGCAACAGTAACTCATGCTGTATAACTAGACTACTGAAATAAGCTCTACCACTCAGAAATTGCACTTGGTCCAAAACAGAGCAGCCCACATATTATTGAGCACTGGACACATAAGCACGTCACCCTGTGTTAGGGGCCCTTCACTGGTTACCAATAGGTTTCTAGATGCAATTTAAAGTGCTGGTTTTAATTTACAAAGCCCTATAAGGTTTGGCGCTGAGGCACCTTCAAGACTACCTTTGTCAGCTAGAATCCACCAACTTGATAAGGACAGCTCAGGAAAAATTACTTGTGGTTCCCCATGACCATGAAGTTTGAGGGGCTGAAGCCAGAAGAAGCTGTTTCTCAGTACAGTAATGGCGTTACGTTATGGAACAGCCTCACCCAAGAAACTAGATAGGCCCCGAGGTTATTGCCTTTCTGGAATAGGCTTTCTAAATGCGATGTATGGAGGGAATGCAACATGTGTGTTTATACTGCTCTAAGTTGCTGTTTTTAATGTTTGTATCTGTTGTACTATTATTTCGTATTTTATGATTAGACGTTTTGTAATTATTTTGTACTCTGACAAGAGTGGCATGATTGCAGCCATTTAGAAATCTAATAAATAAACAAACAATGGAAAAACCAAGACCCAAGAAGAAGAGGGTCAACAGAAAAAACAGCAAGATAGAGAAGTGAGAAACAGATAATCAATGGGTTTTATTGCAAGTCTCACTCTTAAAATGCATAGCAGTGCACCGTTTACTGAAAAACATGATCCTGAGCTTTCCTCTTGGGTACTCTAATAATAATGATATAACTGTAATTGTAATAATGGCTGCGCATATTGAGAAAATAGGTATGCAGATTTATAGGATGCAGATATGCAAAATATATATTTATTCAGTAGTTACTAAAGGCAATTGCTTAGTCAGGATGTTTCACTGCACACACTATCTGTTTGACCAGATGTGGGTTACTTGGGGCAATCCTGTAACATGTTTGGTCACGTAACAGGGACTAACATGTTGGAGGTGAAATACATGCTGCTTCTGTCAACTGCCATGGAATTGCAGTAAAGATAGTCCAACTTCAATGCCATGTATTTCCTATTTAGTTAGCAGTAGATGGAAGACAACATAACATGGGAGAAAAAAAGTCCCTCTGTCTAAATAATACATAATGATATGTCATTTAAGAACAGTGTGGCTTGCACATCATAAAATCACACACTTATGAAATCCTCTAAAAATTAACATATGCTTAAAAGTAAGCACAGATTAAACTTTGACAGGATCACAGTCCAGTATTTCTAATCTAAAACTGTTTGTAAATCTTCCGATTTCTAGCTACTAGCATTTTCCAATCTCCCATCATCCATATAAGGTGGATCAACTTCCACAGTCTCCATGCTGACAGCCATGCTGGCTAGGGTCATGGGAGTCCAAGTCCAACACATCTAGAGGACACCAAATGGGAGAAGGCTGGTTGATATACTCACAGCTTCATACATACACCCTCTTGAAGGGCATGTGAAAGAATCCAGAAGACTTACCTTCCTCACAGTTGCTTCCAGTAAAACCAGGGCAGCATCGCCATTCGAGAGCAGTTACTGTTCTGTAAGCTATCTTGTACGTGGGTCTGATGAGAGTCCTGTAACTAACACAAGCAAGACATCACCCAGAATGTTCAACCCAAGCCTGCCAACATCAGTAGCTACTCACAAGAGCAAAGCCAAGCAGAGTTTTAACCAGCACAGTCCAACATACTTCCACTCAGGTAGAGTTCAGTGGGATTACTCCCAGGTAAGTGGCTAAAAAATTGCAGTCTGCATTTAAAGATTCTTTATTCATCCACATTCTTTATTTGTCTACCTGGGAGAACATCCCATTGAAACTTATTTCTGAAGAGCCATGCATAAAATTATGTTAACTGACAATAAAACCTTATATCAGATTTCTACAATTTAAAGAAATTGTGTGATAAAGTGAATAGGCTTGAATTATGGAATGTTGGGCACAACTATGAAGTTGAAGGTTGATTGCTGAATGCAGTAACAGTGGTATCTGATGGAAATATGGAAGTAAAGCAGGCATGAGAATAAATATAGCACTTGAATTATTTAATTTGGAGCAGGAAGTGATACAAGGATATGTGACGTCCACTTGGTTACTGAATGTATTTATGGATAAATGTACTCTATAAGGAAAGCTAGTGATGATGTCAGAGGTATGTTGACTGGGGAAGTGAATGCAGTTAATTCTGTGTTGTTGGCTAAGAATCTGAGTGACTTGCAGGAAATAGTAAACTGTACAATGCAATGGAGTATAGATCTGAAAATTAACTTATCAGTGTATCAGTCATCTTTGTGTTTGATAAGAAAATGGAGAGAATGATGGCAAATTATACATGAGTAACGATAAACCAAGGCAACTAGGTGAAATTGTGTACCCTGGTGTAGTATGTTTTAAAAATAAAAATATGGATGGAGGAATCTTAGGGTGTACAAATTCTAGTAGAAAGATTGTGGACTGCCATGCCATTTTGCAACTAGGCAAGTTTCCAATGTCAGCCACTTTGTGAGTCTAGCACATGCTTTCAAAATTCTCAGTGCGCTCTCACCCAAAAAGTGTGTATCCCTAGTTTAAGTAAAGACAGTTGGACTACACTCATATAATACGTTTAAACAGTTCAATTAAAGACTTAGTGGCTACATTTGCATGTGATTTGATTGTGTAGTTTTAAGCTTGGTTGGTGGAGTTTGGGGAAGGTAGCTTAGCTTGTTCTCTGAACTATGGAAACTCCCCAAATGTATTGTTCTATGAACACAGTCTTGGAATATTTGGAGAATGTTCCTCCCTGCCCTTGCTTACTTTGAAGGAAACTTCTAGTATGTACTGTTTGGACTGGGTAACTTTAAGAAGGCTTTGCAGCAACTATTTTTTTATAGAAATAAGACTGGAAGCAGACAAGGGAATAGTCAGGTTGCTGACGAGACACAATTTGGATCAGGTCAAGGAAAAGTAGCATCCTGGGACACAGGAACCACACAGGAACTGTATATTTCCAGTGTGTTTAAAACATTTGCTCTGCAATGTTTAGTATTTGTGCAAAGAAGCGGATTACACACACAACCCACCTTTCACGCTAAGTTCAAATTTGCTTCTACACTTTAAGATAACGGCCCAGTGTTGATCTTCCTCTCCTCTACACTGTGCCAGACAAAGTTTACATATTCCTCCGTTAAAACAGGAGACCTAGAAGCGCTTACATTCACTGTTCTTATTTATTAGGGGTAGCCTCTATTTCGTGGCTTCTAACTCATTTTGGTCTCCCTTTTTGGCCAGATTGCTCTTGTTAAAGTTTTATGCAATGATGCCAAAAAATGAGGAAGGGGATGGGCAAAACATGCATTTATATAAAAACTTAAGATAAGTGCTGTAATTCAGATACAAATGCTAAATATCGCATTTAAAGCAGAAGAGTTTAAGCAGGTAACCTAAGTATCTACACTCTAGTTCTAAGTACAAGTAAGCCACTTCCCGGCTCCTCCTTTTGCCTTCCTTAATTCCATAAAGGTATTATGCCAGCAAAGCAATTCTAACCATTGGTGAGAATGTTCCAATCACAGAACAGTCTACAGACTGAGATATTCTCTGTACAATAGTGTTCTTCCTTCCCTTTGGGTTTGTGTGGTTTGCTTTACTAGCTGGGAGTAAGTGCAAAGAAAGAAAGACGTGCAGAACCGAAAAGGAGAGCAGGAAAGAAAGAAAAGAGAAAGGAAGGCAGAGAAAGAAGAAGCCAGAAGCAAAATAGCTCTTCCATTGTTAACCTTGGCCTCACTTACTGTTGACAAATTCCTCAAATACAGCTCTCATCATACATACATATACTGTATCACCACCGCTCCGACACATATAGAGTTTCTATCAGACACAAAAAAATTTTAAAGCTTCATTCAAATGATAAATTTAGGGACTAATTGAAATTTAAGTATACACTAGGAACTTTCTTACTTCCCTTGCTATTTCAATGTTCAGGAATTAGGGCTTCTGTTTTATGTTTGCAGTGAGCCTCATCCTCAGCAGAGAGAGATGAAACCCCACTCTGACAATCTGGAATTGTGGCAATATTGCACATTGACTGTTGTGCTAGTAAAATGTTGCCAAGGAAGACGTGGATCCAAATATGTCTGGCATACATATGCTAGCTGGGAACTTTGGAAGCTGCAGGCTGACACATATGGAGGACATCAAACTGGGAAGGCTAGAGTGAGTGTTACACTGGGGTAACCATAACAAATGTGTCTGGCACAGCTCACACAGTGTTTCCTCAGCCTTGAGAGCAGCACTATATTCTTCCTAAGCTTCCCAAAATATACTTTTTAAGCATGTGTAAAAATTACATCTGAGAAAGTAAGGGGCTTATTGGATAACACAAATGGGTCATTAGAGATGAAATGCAAACAGATTTCTTATCTAGCAGCCCTTGTGCTTTTTCCTCTTTTTCCAACCGCTCTTCCTCCTAAGCAGTCACTCTGGAGAAGGTCTGTCTACGTGGCTGCTAAGAATCAACACCAACGTGACTGCATATAATCAATCAATCAATCAATCAATCAATCAATGTCATTCAAAGTAAGGCATGATGGGAGTTGCATGTAAGCATACTAAAAACCTCAAGACCAAGATCATCATCTGAATGAAGCATCTTGGGCACTTCTGGCCAGACTAAAATAGAAAGCGTCTCCATGGTTTTCTTACGGTGATGCTCTCAAACAGACTTTCCCTGCATTCTGCTATTTAGAAATCCACTAAATGAGAAACAGCCACACAGGGCTGTTTCTGAGCTCCGTTGCTCAGGATGAAGCTCCCAAAAGGCACGTGCATCACTAGATGAGAAGCCTAGCTTGCACTGTCATCAGTACTCAGCCACAAAGTGTCCCAATTACATAAATTATGCAAGAAACTTGTGGCGAGATGTATTATGTCATAATTTTTCATAGAATAAAAAACATCTGCCAAAATAGATTTCTTAATACGTAAGATGACACATGGCTCTTTCTTTTTGCTGCAAGGGAATGAAACAACTAGCTCTCTGGAAACAGTTAAAAAAACTAAAGCATAGTTTGTGTACATTTAATCCTTAGTCATATAACTGCATTAACATTGCAACCTGATCTCATGTTTCACTATTTTTTCTTTATACTCAGGAGTGTATATAGCTGTCAAGTATGGATATTTTTTCTTTTAGCCCAAAAGAACAGCAACTTTTTCTGGCCCTGGACATCTTCCTGTACACCATCCCGATCCATGAAACTTGCAAGGCTGCTTGTCAGAATGGAGACATTTCGCCAAAGCTCAGCACTTTTTTTTTTCATTCTGGTGCAGCATAGCACACCTGTTATACCACCTCAAAGTGCAGAAAAAGGCACAAGTGAAATTTCTCTCACAGAAATGATGAGCAAGCCATTGAAGGGGGACTTTCAAGAAGGATGACTCAGTCCTGAGAAGGAGGAAAGTGTGAGAAAGACCCTCAAAATTACCCTGCCTTGATTTTGTTTGGTATAAGTTGGGGCAGAGAGAAACTCAGATAAGCATTCTAAATTGGGTTATTCTGCTCTACATCCATTAAGAGCATCTCTGCTGTTCCTGTTTCTTGCCTTCACCTACTGGGATAAGGCTCTCCAAAGCCAGAGCAGCTCCACAAGTTGCTGTACAGCCAGTATTGCTCCATTCTCTGGGAAGTCTACCAGAAAAATTGGTGAGGGGAAGAGCTCAAGATCAATTCTTGAACATCATGATGCAGTGTGAATTGTTTCTGGCAGGCCAACCAGTGGAATGGCCTACAGATTGGGCCAAGGTTGCTTTATTCTTAGTTTGCTGAAAGAAGGGGCAGTCAAATGGGATATGTCACTCATTGAGGGCAATGATGCATTGCTGGGTAATTACTAGAACTTCATGCAAAGATTCAGAGATGCTTTCGATGATTCAGCCAGGAGAACTACAGAGAACTGAGAGAGTCACAAACTGAAACAAGGAAATTGTCAAGTTGGGAGTACATAGCTGATTTCCAGTTGTTTGCCAGAGATGTGTGTTAGAATGATATTATCCTGATTGATCAGTTTGGGAAGGACTTTCTGATGAACTAAGGGATGAATTAGTAAGACAAGGCACACCAGAAAATTTTGGAAAACTATTCTAGCACGGCATGTTAATCAATGGATGATTGGAGGAGTTGAAGCATGAAGGAAATAATAGGGGGAGGACATTTTATTGTCATTTGTCACCCCAAGACCCCTTCCTCTGACCTCATTGGACAACAGCATCATAGTACCCACAGAAATATGTCTGATGAAGAGAACCTTGTCTGCCATGGAGAAACAAAGAAGGAAGGATTTCAATGTATACTTTTACTGGGGATCTCAAGGACACCAAACCATGGTTTGTTCTGCTAAAGTTTCTTCTTAGTCAGATGGAAGATGCTGCACCTGTGGAACTGCAAGTCATCTCACAAGTAGATGCCTGAATCACTCCAGAGACTTGTGCTCAGGAAATTTTACAGGCTCCTCTCCCAAGAACTCAAAGGGAGGCATTCAGTTAATTAAGAAGAACTCAGATCACCAACAGCAGGCAAGTGCATTTCATTATCCCTGTTACTCTTCACACCCCAACCAGTGCAGAAATAAAACTTTTGACACTTTTAGACTCTGGTGCAACAGCTTATTTCATTGATGAAATTATGGTCCATCAGTCTGAGTTGCCCACACAGTAATTAGAGAACCTTAGTTGAGACACTTGATGGGCAATTTCTTCCAGCTAGTCTTATTTTGCAACATATAACTCCTTTGCAGTTGAAAATAAATGATCATACAAAATTCTTGCCACTCTATATCACTCTAGCTTCCTTACATGTCCCCATAACATTATACCCATAACATATAACCAGGTATAGTCTGGTTACAAAATCATAATCCGGATATCCACTAGGAGCAAGGGACAATTTCTTTTCCCGCTCGAAAGTATCAACAGCATCACTATTTTCCCTCTCTCCCACTCTGCTGTCAGAACCTCTTTTCTTGCCAGAAAATTAAACAGATTTTGCTGATGTTTTGGGGGAATAAAAAGCAGCTGCCTTGCCCTCTCATTGGACATGCAACCATACTATTTAAAAACCTGCAGTGCAGAATCCCAGAAAAAAAGGCAATAGCCCACGTCTACTCAAGACGTAGCCAATTTAAAACGGTTTCTGGACAACAATCTGAAGATATATTCATCTTTTACATCTCCAGGATCAGCACCTATGTTTTATGTAAAAAAGAAAGATAATTCCTTGAGAGTTGTGGAATATGATAGACTTCTGAACTCAGTAACCATTAAGAACCAGCACCCACTGCCTCTTCTTTCAGATCTGCTGGATCACCTTCAGAAGGTAATCACTTTTACTGAAATGTACTTTAGGAATGAATTAGCAGAAACTAGCAACAGTATAGCAATATATTGCTCAGGCTGACCAGATAATAACCCAAGAATTGCTCACTTTCTCATTTAGTCCTCAGTTCACATGTTTACTGATGTTCCTAAACAACTATTTAGCTTATTCCAAAGAATGATATAGTTGTTTCCAAACATTTATGCAGATCTGATTCAGCAGATTATTCAAACATTCATAGATCAAGGCTTTGCCAACTCTTGGCATCTGTCAATAGAGTATTTATTCACCACTACTTCTCTGTCGCTTTGATCAAACTTAGCAAAGGTCTAAAACACAGCCCATTACCTCACTAAGTTGGCACAAGGTCCTGGCCACCGACAGCTCTGATAAACCCTTTGGATTACTGTCTCCGAGCCATTCTGCACTTGACAGGAAACCGTCCGGGTGACCGTGTAGTGGCACCAATGACTGTGGAACAGAACAGAAGACAAAGTCTGTTATTCAAGTTTAACTACTTTCTTTAGCCATAGTCCACTGCAAATCCCAAAGACAAGTCAACAAGTACAAATTAACAGATGAAAATTGAATGCAAAAAGCACAAAACCTGGCAAGTCTGGTGGGACATTTTTGTCTGGCCCTTTTTTTGATGTCAAACTCATATCCTCCCCCCTATTTGTTTCAGTTAGCTTCTGGTTGCATTCATATAATCCTCCAAATCTTGGACTGGAAGATTTATGAAAGAGCAGTTTGACTGCTGAAATAAGCAGGTGAGGAAAAATATGTGAGACACCCAAAACATATAGCCAAAACTCACTGGTGGCAAAAAAGGAACAAGAACCTTGTTTCCATATTGCTGATTTACAGTATGCTGGTAGCCTTTATCAGTTAGGCTGTGAAATGCACTGGTTTCAATTCTTTAAAAAAATGCTTTGGAGCACATGGGGGTGTCACCATCACACCAGTCTGCAACTCTTTAAAACATCCAGGATCATGTGGCAGTTGTGAAATCCTGAAAAAAGATGTGGCCGTTTTAAAGGATTACAGAGAGATGCTATATTTGTATCTTATGTACCTTTTCAGAATTTAACCTGAAGAGCTACACAGCCTAATATCTGTTTCCCTCTTGCTTAAACTTCAGGGAGGGTTAAAATCCACATATAAATGTAATATGAAAACTTTTTTGATGTCCTTCCTTATGCATGGGGGGAAGGGGACAAATGTCTGCATGCCTGTTTTCATAGGTATAAAAGGTATTAAACAAATTCATGAAAAACGATGGAATTTTTATGCTATGTATTATCGATATTAAGGCATAAACCTCCTCCCAGAAGTGAAAATACTACAATTCCTAGAATTCCCAAACAGCATGACCATTGTTTTCAACAGTTCTGCAAGGGATTATGGGGGCGGGGGAGACCTGTACCTGTATTTTTATTTATTTACTCGATTTATATAGCCACCCATCTGACTTTTATGTGACTCTAGGCAACTTACAATAAAACAAATAAAAACACAAAATGCACAGTATAAACAAAAATAAAAAGACATAGCAGGCAGGCATGATCTAACCTATCATCTGTACAACCAGGAGACGGGCTCTAAACCACGTCCAGGGACCCAGGCTTGAGCACAGAGCCTTTTCAAGGCCTTACGGAAAGCCAACAGGGACAGGGCTAAACTAATCTTGGGGGTGGGGGAAGAACGATGCTCCAAAGGGTGGGTGCCACAGCAGAAAAGCCTCTCCATCTGGGCCCCGCCAGCCGACACACCCTAGCTGATGGTACCCGGAGAATGCCCCTCCTGCCAGATGAGTAGAAACAACTGGGAAGAGACGGTCCCGTAAGTAACTTGGTCCTAAGCCATGAAGGGCTTTAAAGGTGACAATCAGCACCTTGAATTGTACCCAGAAGCACATCGGAAGCCAACGCAGCTCGCAGAGCAGTGGGGTCGCATGTGCCGGGTAACCGGCACCAGTATGCCCGCGCTGCTGCCTTTTGTTGAAGCGTCCAAATACTCTTCAAGGGCAGCCCCACTTAAAGCATGTTGCAGTAGTTCAATCTGGAGGTCACAATGACCATAAGCAGAGCCCCCCAGTCCAGGAATGGGTGCAACTGATGCACAGCCCTAAGCTATGAAAAGGACCTCCTGGCCATGGCTGCTGCCTGCTCTTCAAGCAGGAGCCGTGAGACCAGGAGGGCCCCCAGGTATGTCTGGGGCAGTGCCCCCCATCCAGAACCAAAGATGGAAGGTCCCCAAAACAAGGAGGTCCAAAAACCCAGAGCCACTCGGTCTTGCTTGGGTTGAGCTGAAGCCTGTTGCGCCCCATCCAGGCCCCCACAGTCTCCAGGTACTGAGACAGAACCTCTACAGCATCACTCAGGCAGCCTGGAGTGGAGATATAAAGCTGGGTATCATCAGCATACTGAAGATACCTCACCCCAAACCGTCAGATGACCTCACCCAGTGGCCATGCAGATGTTAAATAGGAGGGGAGAGAATACCAAGCCCTGAGGCAGCCCACAAAGGATGGGCTGCCAGCTGGATCTCTCCCCTCCTATCAACACCAACTGGAACTGATCCTAGAGGAAGGAGGAGAACAGCACAACAGCGTGCCACCCACCCCCAATTCCCTGAGCTGGTCTAGAAGGATACTATGACCGATGGTATCAAAAGCTGCTGAGGGTAAAGAAGAGCAAGGATGGACACACCACCCCCATCCTGCTCCCACCAGAGGTCATCCAAGAACGCAATCAATGCCGCCTCAGTCCCATACCCAGGCCTGAACCCTGACTGAAAGGGGTCAAGATAATTCGTTTCCTCCAGAGTCCTCTGAAGTTGCAACACAACCACTTTCTATACAATCTTCCATAGAAAGGGAAGGTTGGAAACTGGATGAAAATTGTCCAGAATGGTGGGGTCTAGTGGCGGCCCCTTGAGGAGGGGGCAAACTACCACCTCCTTAAGAGACGGCAGAACTACCCCCTCCCTCAAAAAGGTGTTAACCACCACCAGAACCCAACCACACATCCCTTCCCAGGAGCCCTAACCAGGCAGGAGGGACATGGATCTAACATAGAAGTGGCTACACTAACAGCTCTGAGGACCCTGTCCATTTCCTCAGGCCCAATGGGATCAAACTCTCCCCAGATAACCAAGCTAGACCCAGCCCCAATAACCTTCACAGGACCTGCACCAAGGCCCGAGTCCAACTTAGAGCAGATCCGATCAACTTTGCCCATCAGATGCCTGGCATACTCTTCACAGTGACCCTGTAGGTGAACCTCCGAACCACTCTCACCCAGGAGGGACCAAGTCACCCAGAACAGGGCCACTGGACAGCTATCTGCAGATGCAATAAGGACAGAGAAATATTGATGTTTCGCCGCCCTTACTGCCACAAGGTAGGCCCTAACAGCAGCTTGTGTTCAATCCGATTCGCTCTTTGTCACCCTCCAGCGATGCTCGAGGGTCTCTTCAGTTCCCTTAGCTCCTCCATATACCAAGGGAAGTTCTGGGATCCCCGGGGCAGGAGAGGCCATTCAGGATGATGCATTATCTGTCAATCAACCATTCTATCCCTGGCTACCAGCCATAAGAATTAAATTAAGGTCCTGTGTGGCTGAGGAGTTAATAGTATTGAAAGCACTTCTTCCTTCACATTCTGCCTATGAAATTTTATCTATCTATCTATCTATCTATCTATCTATCTATCTATCTATCTATCTATCTATCATGTTTATATAGCCACCACATAAAGTGACTCTGGGCGGCATACAACAATTAAATTCTTGGAAGCACAAACATCAAATGTTGTCTTCCACTTGGTCAGACTTTATCCTAGCCAGCACAGAATCAACATGATCTTGACATAAACCCTCCACGCTTTGAGGCAGAGATTTTTACCAGCAAATCTGGAGGTGCCTGGAATTGAAGCAGAGATGTTCAGCGCACAAAATGAATGCTCAACCACTGAGCTACGTCTCTGCCCACTGCAAGAAGTGGAATGTTAAACTCGATAGCTGGTGGTCTGCTAACAACATTTCTTATGTTCTCATCATGTTAAACGCATATTCCCAAAAATATAATAATGGCCATCCCTGCGCTAGATTTAGCAAGTGCGTGGCATTGCAGGAAGCCTTCAATATTGTTGGACCAGACATGAGCCTGGCAAGCTGGCTGTCTTTTCCTTGCCAGGAAACACTGAGATAGGAAGATGAAGTGGAAAGCACACTAAGGAGGATTAAACTTTACAAAGATTTGACACTGAGAAGGGAAACCCTAGCTGTGTTTACATTACCCAATGCAGTTAAAATCTTGCATCCCGGGATGAAGGATTTCCTAGCAATAAAACAAGCAAGATAATTAAAAGCTTCTCTCAGTCCCTTGGATGCATCCTCTCATCTTTATGGGAATGACTCACGGCTTTGACCTCATGGGGCTGTAATTTTATGACAGAGGAAGAGGTATTTTTTAAAAATCTTTCAAGTGAACAAGGAGGTTTGCAGAATAAAATCTGTAAGGCCCGAGAAAAAAAATGCCCTGTGCGTTTGGATCTTCTCTATTTGGAAACTCCTTTCTCATCTATAGCACTTATAGTTAGATTCTAAATTTACCTGGTAAATTTAGAAACTAACTATATATTACCTTAAATGGGTTGATTGCCATGACATTAAAGTTTTAAACAAAAGTTTCAACGTTTATGTTCTATGCTTCACAGAGACATCCCAGGATAGATAATGGTGAAGAGAAAATTACTAACATATAATCTAATAACACTTTAAAAAAGAATAAGCAAAAGCTAAGAATGGAAGAAATCATTTCACAATTCCAAACACAGCTAAATGCCTAGGGGAAAAAAAGGCATATCATAGTTAAAGGCTAAATAAACCTAGGCCCAGTTCTGTTCTGGGGGGGGAAGATTTTTCTTTTGCTCCATATAAAATGAATGAGAAAAAATTTTGGTTGGGGAAAAAAGATTTCCCCAAAAGCTACATTTAAGGCAACTGTTTAAATAATGTCACAAAATGAGAAAAACCATTGCCAAAATATAAAAAGGGGGCAAGCTATTTTCCTACCTCTTTTTTATCTGGTGGAAATTATAGTATCTAGAAAATACACAGATAGACTCATAGGTTACCTAGTAAAAATGTATAATCTCAGGAACAAGGGGGAAAATCCTCTATTTTTCTTGAAAATAATGAGAAAATAATGAAATATACACAATACTGTACTTATTTTTTTAAGCACCCTTTATAGTTATAAATAAATGGATGCTACTGCCAAGGCGTCTCTCATCCCCAGTGCCTTGAGGTCCAGTATACGACTGGAGCATATTGACCTACTTCTACGTAAGAGTTTCCCAATCAGGACAACTTGCAGATGTGTAACTTCAACTCCCAGAATTCCCCAGCCAGTTTGGCCATTGCTGAGAATTCTGGGGGATAAAGGCCATACATCTGGAAGTTGCT